TTTTGGTGCGCCGATGATCCATGTCTTCGAAGAGGCTCCCGGGCGACTGCGTGTAATGCCTGCCCCTGTCGTCGCCCCCGATCAGTTGGGGGGGATTCACTTCGCCTCCACGTTCGGGAGTGCACCTCGTGAGCTTTCGAGACTCCCAGGCCGACCGACCGCGCTGGCGCCCGCCCTCGCCGCGGACCGACAGGGTGTCAAGGCAGTGCTGTCCCGAGCTCTCTGCGTGCGCTGCCGTGCCTGCCCGGCGTGGGAGCCGTCGACGTGGCCACTGCGCGCTGTTTCGAGCAGGCCTCCCAGCTCTACGTGTTGTTCACGTCGAATTCTTCGGAAGTTATCTGTTTTTTTGGGGGGGGCAAGATCCTTTCATTTCTAAGTGTTCTGTCCTGGGCCTCTTCCTGGCCACTAGGGGGCCAGGAACAATTAGAATCGAGCACAATTAGAAATGAGCACGATTAGAAATGAGCGACGTGTAGCTGCCTTGCGCCTTCGAGCATGGACCCGTTCTTGCCCCTCGGTCTTCGGCGGCCCTCCTGGCGGCACTCTCCACGAGAGCTCTGGATGGCTGCAGCCTGCGCGGGGGTCTGTCATCCACCGCCCAAGGGGCAGGAGGTCCAGAGAAAGATGGGGTACCGATGCCTCCGCCCGTCTTGGAGAGCCCTCGCCGCCACGGCTAGACTCTCCTCGGAATTCTGGTCAGACTGCACCCTCGGAAACGTCCGGGGAGTAGGGTTACACCGATCAGATATATTACGAACAATTTGAACATTGAGTGGGCTCCAGATCCCGCTCAAGAGTCTCAAGAATCCGGACTGGTCCCTGGGCGTTTTCTTGGAGCTTCGTTTCTGCGTGGAACGTTGTTTTATTTGGGCCTGCAGCACTGCTTGAGAAAACGCTTGGCGCGAAACTGATGTGCTTTGCGTACTTGTTTTCCGGCTGCACGTGAGAGTGACCCTTCGCCAGAGTGCCCTTCGGTGCGGGCCCACAGAGGTCCCCCGTCACTGGCCTGCGCGCTTGGGTCTGACCCCCCCCCAAGGTTGCCGAGGTCCGCGCGCCAGAGGTCACTCTCTCTCTTGCCCAGGGTCGCTCCTCCGTGTAGGCGATTTGTTCTCCCAGAGGTCGGGTGGCAGTGGGGCGCGACACCTCGTGGTGTGCAGCTCCGTTTTGGCACCCGCAGGGGGGGTACTTCCCACGGGGGGGGGGGGCGGAGGGCGAACGCCCAGTTCGCGAGAAAGCTCGGCGCATCCCGCCCCGAGGGCTTGCAGTTTGGGCCGCAGCCTCCTCCTCCTCCTGCTCCTCCTCTTCCTCTTGCTCGTCATCCTCATCAACATCATCATCATCATCATCATCATCATCATCATCATCATCATCATCATCCTCATCCTCATCCTCATCCTCATCCTCATCCTCCTCATCATCATCATCATCATCATCATCATCATTATTCTTATCATCATTTATCATCATCATCATCATCATCATCATCATCATCATCATCATCATCATCATCATTATCATTATCATTATCATTATTATTATCATTTATCATCGTCGTCGTCATCATCATCGTCCCCGCCATCGCCATCGTCATCGTCACCACCACTGTCATCCTCTTCATCATCATCATCATCATCATATTCATCATCATTTTCATTATCATTTTCATCATCAGCAGCAGCATCATCATCTTCATCCTCTTCAGCATATAATCAGCACCATTGCCATCAGCATCATCATTGTCATCACCATCACCATCATCGACGCCAGCATCAGTAACATCATTATGTTCGTCGTCATTTTTTATCGTCATCGTCAACAGCATCATCACCATCACCATCACCATCACCATCACCATCATCATCATCATCATCATCATGTTAACCATCATCATTACCACCACCATCTTCACCATCATGAATATCACACTCACCATCACCATCAGCATATGCATTATCATCATCGTTATACTCATCATCACCATCAGCATCATCGTCGGCATCATCATCATCATCAGCATCATCGTCATCACCAGCATCATCATCATCATCACCATCATCATCCTCATCATGGTAACCATCATCATCACCACCACCAGCTTTACCATCATCGATTGCTCAATGACCATCGCCATCGGCGTACGTATTACTATTATCGTTATACGCATCATTACATCCATCATCGTCATCATCATCATCAGCATCATCATCACTACCATCATCATCATCATCAGCAGCATCGTCATCACCATTTCCAGCATTCACACCATCCGCGGCGTCATTATCATCAGCATCATTATCATCATCTTCATCCGCAGCATCAGCATTACCATCGTCATCACCCGCAGCATGGCCATCATCATCATCATCATCATCATCATCATCATTATCACCAGCATTATCTTCATCGTCATCGTCATCACCGTCAGTATCATAATCATCTGCATCATCAGTTCCAGCATCAACACCATCCTCGGCGACATCATCATCAGTATCACCACCAGCATCATCAGTCGCAGCATCATAATCATCATCACCACCATCGTCATCATCATGATCGCCATCACCCTAATCACTATCATCATCATCGTCATCATCATCATCCCCAGCACCATCACCAGCTCAATCACCATCATCAACCTCATCATCCGTATCATCATCATGGCCATCATCACCATCAACATCATCCTCATCATCACCGTCATCTTCATCATCATCATCAGTATCATCATCGCCATCATCATCATCACCATCACCACCATCATCATTACTTCCACACGCATCATCAGCAGCATCATCATAGTCGTCGTCACCATCATCGTCATCATCATGACCGTCATCATCATGACCGCCATCATCCTAGTCACTATCATCATCACCATGCCCAGCACCATCACCATGTCAATCACCATCATTAACCGCATCATCAGTAGCATCATCATTATGGTCCTCGTCACCATCAGCATCATCCTCATCATCATCGTCATACTCATCATCACCATCATCATCATCACAAGCATCATGATCCTCATCATCGCCGTCATCATCATCGACTTCATCGTCATCACCTTCATCGTTCTCATCATCACCATCATCACCATCATCACCATCACCAGCATCAACTACAACATCACCATTGTTATCATAATCACCATCACAACATCATCGTGAGCATCATCAGCATCACGTGCATACTCATCTGTATCAGCTTAATCGTCATCACATTATCAACATCGCCACCGTCATCATAATCACCATCATCAACATCATCATTGTCATCAGCATCATCGTCAGCATCATCATCACCTTCATCATTCTCCTCATCACCATCATCACCATCACCATCATCAACTACAACATTACCATCGTTATCAACATCATTATCAAACCATCAACGTCAGCATCATCACCAACACTTGCATCATCATATTTGGCAACTTCATCGTCATCACTTTATCATCATCGCCACCAGCATCATCACCACCATCGTCAGCATCATCTTCGCCATCATCATCATCATCATCATCATCATCATCATCATCATCATCATCATCATCATCATCATCATCATCATCATCATCATCATCATCATCATCTGTGTTTCTCTCGCCCCGTCCCTCTCCTCCGTCCTCCTCTTCCGTGCCCCTTTCTCCCTCCTCAAACGATCCAGTTGACGATCGAGACGGTGTCGACGGCGACAGCGACGACGGCGACGACTACGACGATCCACAATGAAACCGTCCAGACGGAGAACTGCAAGGGCGACGACGACGACGACGAAGACGACGACGACGACGGCGACGACGACGACGACGTCGACGACGACGACAACGACGACGACGACGACGACGACGTCAACGGCGGGCCTGGCAGCGGTGGCGGCGACCTGCCGGCACCTCGCCCCCTGCAGGTGGCATGGCTGCCGCTGCTGTGGACGGTCTCTTGCTGCCCGCGGCTGCCAGGACCGCAGACGTTCCTCACCGGGCGGGCGCCGGGCTCCCCGCCGAAGAGGCCGGCGGTGGCGAGGCGGGCCGACGAGGGCGACGAACAGCTCAAGCCGGGGGAGGCTGCGCGCGGGGAGGGCCGGGGCTGCCTGGAGGCTGCGCGCAGGAGAGAGAAGGGGGGGGGGCAGGGTAAAGGGGAGGATCTGACAGGGGAGAGGGAGGAAGGGGGGGAGGAGGAAGAGGGGGGGAGGAGGAGGAGGAACGAACGAACGAACGAACCACCACTGCGGACAGCTGTCCGGGCCTGCTCGAGGCCGTCGCCTCTTCAAACCTGTACGTATGGACTACACGCGATCATGCATATGGACAGCGAGACAATCAAAACAAATCTGCGACGGAGGAGGGGAGGAGGGAAGTCCTGGATGTGGATGTCGGCGTAGTGTCGTTACGTGGGGTGTGCGTATTGCCGTTCGAGTGTCGACCAGGTGGTGGTGTCTTGGGCCGTGCGAATCCAGGTGAAGTCGTTGGGTTGGCCTTTTGTAGTCGGTGTGGGCGTTGGATGCTGGTCGGGGTTGTTTTGTTGGAGGAACTTGATGAAGTCGTTTTCCCAGCGTTTTCGCTGGCCGCCTTGCTGTCGTTGTCCGAGGTTGGCGTTGAGGAGGAGGAGGAGGAGGAGGAGGAGGAGAAGGAGGCGGAGGAGGACGAGGAGGAGGAGGAATGGGAGAGGGAGAGGGAGAGGGAGAGGGCGAGGGCGAGGGGGAGGGAGGGAGGGGGAGGGGAGAGGAAGCACGCGGTCAGGTGGGTGCCTTCAGTGCCATCGTGCTGTAAGGAGTGTGCAGGTACGGTTATGCCCCACCCCAGGCAGCAGCATTCGGGGCTGCCAGACAGGAGCATGGGGCTGCCAGGGAGGAGGGGGGCGGCTGAAGGGGGCTGCCGTGCAGGAGGGGGAAGATTTTGTTGAACCACAGCAGGCTCGAGTTCGGAGGATGCACCAGGCGGGTGGGGGGCACCTGCCTGGACGCCCTCTTGCTTGGCGCTGTGCGTGCGCCGCGGCACCTGCAGCCGTTGGCCCCAGCGCCTCGCTCAGGGCAATGACGCAATGACTTGAGCCCGGGTGTCTGCCCTCTCCCCCCCCCCCCTTGTCCTCCCCCCGCCCCCAGCTCGGGTCGGACGGAAGCGGGGTGGGGGTCGGGAAGGGGTGAGTGGGCACGAAGTCGAGATTTGCTTTATGCAGCTGGTCTCGGCCCCGCCGCCCGCGCTATTCATTGGCGCCGCCAGCGCTGGGAGGCGCCAGGCAGACCAGCTACGCAAGGTGATTCGCTAATCCCCCCTGAACCTACGGTCGGGAACTAGCTCCTCCGGTTCTGGCCCACCACGCTTCGGCGCGGCACGCTAACCACGTCTGGGTCCAAGAGCGTCAACGTCTGCAGCGTTTCCCGACCTACCGCCCTGCGGAGCGGAGCGACATGCTATCCATTCGCAAGGCATAGCGTGCCGCTGGGGCCGCCGCCGCGACACGCTGAGCAAGAGCTCCCGACCGTAAACCCTCGCTTGTCTCCTTCCCGCCGCTCCCCTGGCCAGCGCAGGCCCCCCCTCCCCCCCCTCGAAGGGGGGCCAGCGGAGGATCAGCGGACGAAGATTTCCCCGCCACCGAGGACGCTTGTCACAGGGCGGTCGTGAAGTCGTTACCCGACGCGCCACTGTAGGGGTATCACCTTCCCTGCCGCCCAGGGACAGGCGGCCCGCTGATAGAGAAGTCTACACGCACCGTCTCGTCGTCAACAGAGGGGAAGGAGGACCCTCCCTCGACCTCCACCTCCTGCACCTTCCGGACGGCGGATGCCGCACAGCCCGCCAGCGCGGCAGCAGAGGAGGCCGCAGCGGCGGCCGCCGCGGCCACCACGCGGCCGCGACGCGGCGGCACCTGCTGAGCGAAAGGTTCGGGAGGTGGAGGTCCAGGGCCGTCCGACCCGACCGGCCCCACCCTGACACATGCCATGGCGGAGCCCCCCGAGCCGCCGCCGCTCCCCGCTCCGGCGGCTCCCGCGCGCAGGGCCGCCGGGCCGCCAGGTGCCACGGGCCTGTCCCGCGGGGAGCTGCTGGCCGCGGGCGCGGGCGCCGGCGTGGTGAGCAAGACGGCGACCGCGCCGCTGGACAGGACCTCGGATCGCCATGGGGGAAGCGGGTCCCGAGGGAAGCGGGTCCTAAGGGTGTTTCGCCGGTTTCGAGTTCTCGGGGCCCTCCACGGGCCCCGGGACTGTCCGAGAACGACTCAAGATGAAGATCTCGCCCTGGGGAAAGGTCCCGGGGCCCAGGACCGGTTTCCCTCGGGACCCGTTTCCCCCCTAACTCGGAGGAGGGGTAAAGATGCCGATGCCGCTGCTCCTCCTGGGAGGCACTCGTCTTGGAGCCGCCCGGGTGTCCGAGGCGGCCCAGCATTGGTTAAAGCCAGCAGGAAGGGGGGCTCGAGTTTCTGGGTTCGAGGGAGATTTTTGCCTTTCGGCCTCTGGGGGCCGTTTTCGGGCCCCGGGGCCGTCAAAAACGGGTCCAGGGAGGGGTCCATGGACTGATTTGGGGCAGAGTTGGCTTCATCCCCGCCTCCTGACCGATTTCCTGGGGTCCCAAGTAATTGACCTCAAAGGGTCTTTAGTTTTGGACCCCCCCAAAGCTCTCGGCGGTGAAAAAAATTGCTCTCTCTCCTCCCTCCCTTCTTCCCTCCTCTTCCCTCCTCCCTCCTGCAGTGAGAGTTTCAGAGCAATGAGTTTCAGAGCAATGATCCTTTGGGAGTTTCCTTCTCCTTCTCCTCCTCCTCCTCCTCCTCCTCCTTCTCCTCCTCCTCCTCCTTCTCCTCCTCCTCCTCCTCTTCCTCGTCGTCGTCGTCGTTGGTGTCGTCGTCAGCGGCGGCGGCGGGTAACAATAATTAGTTTCCGTTGTTGTCGGGGTCCCAGTCCGTCAATAAGCCCGCCAGAAAATATGTGGTTTCCCACTGTTGCGGGGGGGGTTCAAGACCCTTCCAGGTTAGTTCAAACCCCTTGGTCGCAACATTCCGAGGCCGCTGCTTGTCCTGGAGAGCCCTCATCGCCGTGCCTGAATTCTCCTCGGGATCCTGGGCAAGAGGGCAGCCCCGGAGAGGTCCAGGTGTAGGTTGTTGTCGGTGCCCATATGTGTCCCACCAGGATCCGGATCCTGTTCCAGGTGGACAGGAGGCGGGCCTTCACCCTGACGGGCTTCGTGCTCAAGGGCGCCAGGATCGTTCGCACCGAGGGCGTCCTCGGCCTCTGGCGCGGCAACCTGGCGGTCGTCCTGCGCGCCATGCCCTACGCGGGCCTGCAGTTCGCCTCCTTCAACCAGTACTACGCTCTGTTGCTGCCGCTGCCGGTGTTCAACAGCCAGGAGAAAGCTGCACGCTTCTGTGCGGGGGCGGCGGCTGGTGCCACCGCCACGGTGCTCACGTACCCCCTCGACTTCTTGCGGGCTCAGATGGCGGTGAGCGCTTCTTCGTTGTCGATGAGGGAGGTCCACTCCTCATACGTGGTGGCCGCGCAGGAGATCGTGCGCGACGAGGGCTTTTCAGCGCTGTATACGGGAATCCGGCCCACGCTGCTGGGGATCGTGCCTAACGCGGGCATGAGCTTCATGGTCTTCGAGACCCTGAAGCCTTGGATCCAGACCGAGGTCCTGGGGCTGCGTTCCGAGAGCGACATGCCCATGAGCTGGAGGTTCCTGGCTGGCGGATGCGCAGGCTTCCTGGCCCAGAGCGCTTCTTACCCCTTGAACGTTGTGCGGAGGCGGATGCAGGTCCAGGGCCTGATGGAGATAGAAGGCATGGCCCAGCCTCGGTACTCCTCGGTGGGCCAGGCCTTGCTGACCATCCTGCGTACGGAGGGACTGGTCCGCGGGCTCTACAAGGGCGGCTCACTGACGCTGGTCAAGGGGCCTCTGTCGACCGCCACGGGATTCGCCGCCAACGACTACCTCAAGAGCCTGCTGGCGAGGGCGCGCGGAGACCCCGAGCGCATACCGCCCTTCCTCTGGGCGGACGCCCCAGACGTGGTGAGCGACCCCACGGGCCGTCTGACCTGCAAGGTCAAGGAGCTGACTCCGTTCGAGCACCTGGTGTCGGGCGGCACCGCCGGGGCCGTGGCCAAGACCGTGGTGGCCCCCGCGGAGAGGGTCAAGATCCTGTACCAGACGAATTCGCAGCGGGCGTTCCGCTGGACGGGCGTGCTCCGCACCGGGCTCAAGATCTACCAGAACACCGGGATGATCGGCTTGTGGCGAGGCCACACCGCCACCTTGATACAGCAGGTCCCCAAGTCGGCGACCACCTACGCCACCTTCGACTTCTACCGCAGGTGGATCTACGGTCTCGAGGCGGTGGACAAGGTGACGGCGAGGTTCGCCGCCGGTGCCCTGGCGGGTGCCACTTCCACCACGCTCACGTACCCTTTAGACCTCATGCGCGCCCGCATGGCCGCGCATTGGGACATGTCGCCCCGCTACCCTAATTATGCAATCGCCCCGCGCACTCCGTCGGCCCACATTGCATCGTCCGTGCCAGTTGCCTGCGTGCTCGTGGACACTGGGAAGTTGGGTGGTGGTAGCTCCCCCCGTCTGTCGTGGCAAGCTCGCTTGGGGGCTGATGAGCAGTCGCTCTGTAGATCTTGAGGTCTCTTGCGCTGTCTTGGGGCAATATTGGTGCATGCCCCCGACTGGTCCTCGCTGGGCTCTTTTGGAGCCTCTCGGGGCCATCCTGAAGTTTTTAAGGCCCTGGCATGGCTCTTTTGGGGCTCTCTTGGGGCTACAACGGAGGCTGAGAATCCCGTTGGAGCCCACAGAAACAGGAGCACCACAATCATAGAAAAACAAATCATTCCTTTTCGATGGTCTCGGCAATGTTTATTGGGAGACTTTCGGATGATTCTGGAGACCATAAGGGGCCTCTCTGGCGCTTCTTGGATCATATTTGGAGAGTTCTTGGAGGCTGCTCCAATTTGTTCGATGCGTGGGCCCCGGAGGCCCAGACCACTTCCGTTTTTCGCCCTGAACCGTTTTGTGACATTCCCGAGGCCCGGCGAGGGCCCCCATGAGGCCGAAAACGGCCAAAGCCGTTTGCTCCCATTTTGTGGGAGCGTTGGATCTCTGTGGAGGGGTCTTCGGTGGTGCCCTGGACCCTCTTGGACCACGATGGGTCATCATGGGGCCTCTTCGGGACGTCTTGGGCAGTCTTGGAGCCTGCCTCCCACTGGCCTCTAGTGTTGGGCCACTCTGGGGCCCTTTGGGCTCTCTTGCAGCCCTGTTGAGGCCCTTGCGGGGAGCATTGACGCTTTTCAGTGCTCCTGCTGGGCCACCACGGGGACTGAGAAGCCCACTGGAAACGGCAGCGGCAGAGTCACCGAATTCTTCGCTGGTTTGAACACGTGCTTCTTTTTGCGAATCTGGCCGTCCTCGGAGACCTCTGGCGATTGGGGGGAACTGAGTGTTCCTTTTCGGGGGCTGTCTTGGACGCTCTTGGGCCACCTTCGGGTCATCTTGGGGCCTCTCGGGGCTGCCTTAGGACCATATTGAGGCCTGCCTCCCACTGAACCCCGACGTTGGGCCGCTCCTGTGCCCCGTATGGGGGCTGTCTTGGGGGCCTCTTGGGGCGTCGTGGGCCGTCGGAGACTCGAAAGTCGAGAACCCCTAAGACATCGAAAAACCAACGGAGACTTATTATGTTGCCTCTAAGGACTCCTGGAGCCATCTCGGGGCCCGAGAACCTACATGGAAGCCCGCGCGGCCAGGCAGGCCAACAAAAGGTTTGAAACAAGTGCTCCCAGGAGAGGTTATTCAGCCATGCGAGGCCTTCCAAATCGGCCTCGCCTTCGAAAATCGCAGGAGTTACCATCTCTTCCGCGGCGGAAGACGGCGGAAGGGCGGCGGAAATGAAAAGAGGCCGCCTCCGCCGGCGGAAGCCGGCGGAAGGGCGGCGGAAGCAGGAAGTTGGCGGAAGCAAAAAGTTGCCCTCCAAGAGATGACAACATTTTTGGGTTCAGGGTTTCCGAAATCGGCCATATCGAGCCCCCTGTGCAGTCCACTGAGTCATACCCAGAGGTCCAACGCTCCAAAAGAATTGGAGCAGGCGGTTTTGGGCCGTTTTCGGCCTCTGGGGGCCTTCGCTGGGCCTCGGGAGTGTCAAAAAACGGCGCAGGACGCAAAACCAGCCCTGGGGAAGTGGTCCGGACCTTTGGGGCCCACGCGTCGAACAAATTCTTGACTAGCTGTTCTTCAGCGTTCTGTTCGCCGCCTGAGTGGCAACGTAGCCCGCTCCTGCTGCTTAGGGCCTGATTTAGCCCGCTGCTCGTTAGTAGCGCGTTCTCGGACGGCGCGCGGTTGGACCGCGACGCTCGCGAAAAAGAAAATCCCCACCAGCCATCCAGAAACGATTACCTGGTGAGTTGGTTAATCAGGGACGCCTGGAAGCACGCGGTCGCACAGCCTTTTTGAAAGCGTCCAAACTGGGTGGGCAGTACCCTGCAGCCAGAAAACAAGGACCACAAATAGCTTCGGGCAATGAAGTTTAGGAAAGGAATCAGTGCAAGATGCGCCACGGTGTTCCCCGTGGGAAGCGTGTCTGGCGCAGGTTGCTGCATCTACGATCCGACGCCAGTGTTGCGCAGAGTAGACTTGTATTTCGGTGGACATCCTTGATCTCAGCTCTTGCACTGGTTTGTATCTTAAGGTCGCGTGCGTTTTGAAATTGATCAGGTGCTGGTGCTGCTGCTGGTGCTGCTGCTGATGCTGCTTCCGATGCTCGTGCCGTTGATGCTGTTGCTGCTGTTGCTGGTGCTGGTGCTGGTGCTGCTGCTGGCGCTGCTGCTTGTGGTGTTCCTGCTGGTGGTGGTGGTGCTGCTGGGGCCATCTTGCGGGTAGGTGGAGAAAGCGGAGGAGGAGGAGGAGGAGAATGAGAAGGAGGAGAAGGAAAAACACGTAATGAGGACGGGAAGGAGGACCAGCGCATCTCACTGAGTTCATGTTTGTCTTGCTTACTGTATCTCCCCAAGCGCCGCCTGCGCTTCCCTGGTCAACATATCGAGGGTGATGGGGGGGCTGAAACATGGCCTGCTCTTCGTGCCTCCCTTGGGGTGGCGGCAGGACTTGAAGCAACTCAAAGCTGTGATCTGATCATTGCTGATGGGGCGCCCAATGCATTCACTCTTAAAAGCCTTTGGATAGAACTCGCTGTAAGCGCCGCAGGACCAGCAGGCCAAAACACAGCTATCATTATCGAGGCGATCGAAAACGTAACTGTCGTGACCGTTCCTTTGTTCGGAGAGGGTCGACAAACTCGCACAATGCCCAGGGCAAGGCCTGACGTCTTTACGGACTCGGGCGGCCTCGGATCGCGCTCTCTTTCGGCAGAGCTCGCACATCCAGAGGCCTTCAGACAACTCGGGGAGGTGGAGGAGCAGGAGAGACTCGCGGCCGCCCAGAGGAGGAGCAGAATGAACGCGGCGCGAGGAGGATGAAGAGGAGCAGAGAGGCGACAGGAAAGAAACAAGGAAGGAACGGACGATGACAAGGAGGACGAGAAGTCGGGCTTTGGGGATATGTCGTGGTGGGGGATTCTCCGACGACTCGTAATGCCATTTGGGCGCCATCTAGGGGCCCTCTTGAAGCCCTCTTGGAGCCATCTTGGGGCTCTTTGGGGGGGTCTGGAAGGCCTCTTGGGGCCGTCTTGTGCCCCGTTGTTCAAAAAGAGGGGGGGCTCTTAATTCCCATCGCCCTCTGGAAGCTCAAAACTGCTGTCTTGGGGCCCTCTTGGCCCGCTCTTGGGCGCTCTTGGGGCCGTCTTGGGGGCCTCTTGGGCCCCTCTTGGGGCTATCTTAGGCCGTCTTAGGGCCATCTTGAGGCCTCGAGAGCCCATCAGAGGCGAAAAAGCGAGAAGGCCAAAAACATTGATTACCCTTAGGTTTTTGAAGGATTTTGGCATGTTGGGGGGGTCCTTGGAGGGCTCGGAGGGCACTTGAAACCGTCATGGGGCCGTCTTGAGACCTCTTGGATGCGTGTCGGAGGCTATCTTGAGCCATCTTGAGGTATCTTGGGCGATCTTGGAGGCCATCTTGGGCTACCTAAGGCCCTCTCGGAGCCATCTTGGGCAAAAAAAAGGACCCTCAGCCACTTCGCGTTGGAGCCCGTCCAGACCCACGTACGTAGGGGGAGGGAGGTAAACCTCCCAAGCAGGGAAAGGAAGGAGGTTGGAAAAGGAAACGCCCTAGACCACCTGCGCCCAGAGGGCTGGTGGGATTGGAGCAGTCGGATGTCTGGGTATCGAGCCGTTTGTGCAGTCAATTGGGCCGTCTAGGACCATCTCGGGGCCATCAGGGGCCACCTTGGCACCATCTTGCGTCCAGCATGGGGCCCGACACGCTTCGACCCGCGCTCTGGGGGCACTCTTGGCGGCACCAGGGGAAATTGTCGCCCCTGCTTTGGACACAGCGAGGTAAACCCCCCATGGCCGCCCTCGCGCGCGCGGACTCGGTATCTAAGCATTTCTACCTGAATTGCGGTAGATTCGTGTCGTGTAGACCAGCGTCGACCCCACCGCCGGCGACCCAGAATCTGTCGATGACGGAGGATCTGACGGTTTGGGAAGCCGATCGTTCAGGGTTGAACGATCCCCGCTGTGTCAGAAACCAATGCTGATGTCGTCACGACACGGGCCTGCCGCACCCCTGTTCCAGGATCTGGCACGCCTGTGGCCCGTTAGGCCGGCGAACTTCTCTGCTTTCGAGGCGGTCATCAAGGAGGAGGGGCCCCTGGCGCTGTACAGGGGCCTGCGGCCAACCCTGCTCGGCATCGTCCCGTACGCGGGTCTCAGCTTCGCCACCTACGAGACGCTGAAGGCCAAGTGGGTTTTGCCCATGGAGGCCAGGAACTCCAACTCGCTGGTGACCAGTGCACGCCTCGCCTCTGGGGCGTTCGCTGGCCTGGTGGCGCAGACGGTCACGTACCCCGTGGACATCGTGAGGCGGCGGATGCAGGTGCACCCTGACCTGTACCGCACCGAGTGGCAGACTGCCCAGGCGATCCTGAAGTCCGAGGGGCTCTTCCGAGGTCTGTTCAAGGGCATGACCATGAACTGGGTGAAGGGCCCCATCTCGGGCGGGTGGTAGTGGAGGGTGACCTGCATGGGGGGTAAAAAAGACATGGCCTCGAAGGGGCCCTCTGGGGCCCCGTCTGGAGCCAGCAGGGGCGCAAAAGGGCCCCGAAAGGCCCTCTTTGGGGCCTACTCTGCCCGTCACCTCCCAGCGCCACCAGCCCGACCATCGCCGTGGGCGTCAGCTTCACGATGAATGACCTGGTGAAGTCCCGCCTGGGCCGGCTCGCGTCACGGTAGGCCCCCGAGCGCCGAAGGGTCCTCGGGTCGGCGTTCCACGCGCCCGCGCGCGCGCGCCGCGGGCGGGGAGGATTCGTCATGGGGGGGCCCGGCCCTCAGGGGAACGGGTCCTGAGGTGTTTTTTTTCGGGGGGGGGGGGGGGCTCTCGGGGCCCTCCACGGGCCCCGGGACTGTCAGAAAACGATCCAGGATGAAGGGCTCGTCCTGTGGAGGCCCGAGAGTCCGGGTCCCGCTTCCCTCAGGGCCCGTGCCCCCCATGCGAAGAGGACGGCTTCTGTGACGTTCCGGGGACCTCCGCGAGAGCAGCGGCCGCCTGCGCGACCCGCCGCTCCGAAGGGCGTCCTGCCGAGAGGTGCCTCCCGCCAGTCAGAGGAGAAGGTGCCGAGACCGCTATCGTGGCTATTTTTGTCGCCCCTTTGGGCCTCCAGGGCGGCCCTGGTCGCCACCGCCGGGAACGTTTCGAAGTTCAGAGCAGAGCGCGCCGTGGGCGAGGTCCAGGGAGCAGAAGTATCGGCACCTGCTTGCTCCCGCAGGCTGCGCCCCCCTTCCCAGGCTCTCGCGAGCTCCTTCCCCTGGGCGCCGGTGCCGATCTGCTGAGCCCTCTGAGGTCGATCGGGGGCAGCGCTAGGGGAGGACGGGCTCAGGGCTCAGGGCGGGACGCTTGGGCTCCCCGCTCGCCCATGGATCGCCGACAGGGGGCTCGATAGTCCACGCCACCCAGGAGCGCGTGGCCTCGCGGTCGGGGACCCACCGCCGAGCTATCGGCGGCGTACCGCTACTTCAAGCTCTGGGGGAACAACAAATAGCAACAAATAGCATAAACATAAATACTCGGAGGTCTGCGTGGATTTCTCGGATCGGCGCTGGACCCCCCCTCCCTGGCGCGCGGAGCGCGCCAGGGGCGGCGCCGGAGGCGCCGCCAGGGGGCCCCAGCGCCGATCCGAGAAATCCGCGCGGACCTCCGAGTTCTTATGTTTATGCCACTTCTTGTTCCCCTTATAAGCTCGCTGCTTGCCCCCGTGAGTCGGTCCCTCCCCCCATAGCGGCACCCCTCCGGAGGGGGGGGGAGGGGTCGGTGGGCCGCTTTGCGCGCGGGCTCCCCGCCTCTGCCCCTCGCCTCTGCTGGTCGCCGTTCGGGCCTCGCGTCCTCCCTCGGTCGCTGTCCCTCCGCCGCGGTGTCCGTGCCCGGCCCTGGCGCCCTCTTCGTCGCCCTCCTCGGGCCCTCGGTCGGTCCGGTCTCCACTCGTCGCCGTGCGAGGCTGTGCAGGGCAGTCAGCGCCATACTTGGGGGGCCTCCCTCCCCCCCTCCCTCTCGCTGGACAGAGGAGAGAGGAGGAATGGACGTGGTGGTGGTGTATTCTTTGGGTCCCCAATACTCTAACCCACGTCCCGACATCGAATGCCCGTCGCCGCGCCGCCTCCCCCCGCCCCCCCGAGGTTGACTGGGAGGACGCGCCGCCGGGCGGCCTGAACTCTGCCACGGCCTGCTGGGCAGGGTCCGGGGCCAGTGCGCCCGTTGCCCTCGCTCTCCCCCTCCCTCCCTCTGCGGGGGAGCGGGGCAGAGGGGAGGGAAGCGCGTGCTGCGCCTTGGGCCGCTCTGTGCCGCGACAGCTGTGTGGGTGCGGTAGGTTCGCGCCGCGCCGACGGGCGGCGACCCCGCCGCTTGCCTTCAACGTTGAACGCTGCCGGCGACCCAGAGTCGGTCGATGTTGAACGGCCGATCCTTCAGGATCGAACGATGCCCGCGGTGTCAGGAACAAGCGCCGAAGTCGGCACGACACGAACCCGCGGTGTACCGCTCTGTGGCGCGACGGCTGTGTGCCCTTACCTGCCACCGGAGCGCTCGCCGTGCGGGGCGGCGAAGGGGCATGTTCGACCCTGACAGGCGCGCAGTGTGCGCAGGTTTTGCTTCGAGTCTCGGCCATTTGACTGAAGCGAAGCTCGCGCTGCGTGCGCATCCTCGTGCCCCTGTGCGTTCGCCTGGTCATTCGCGGGGGCGTGAAGATAGTCGCGCGTCGCAGTCTGGGCCAGAGCGGTTGCCCTTTTCCAAGAGGGAGTTGCCAGGGCGCGAGGGCGCAGCGGCAATGGGTTGCGTGAGCGCGCGAGCCTGCTGTCGAAGTTCTTGCAGATGCTTGGCCGACAAGCTTTGAAAGCTAGTGCTAGTTGGGGTTGTTGTTGGTTCCGTTGTAGTTAGGCCTTTCGATTTTTGTTCAAGAAGTATGCATTGCTTATTTCCGTCATCTGGATGTTGTAATCCCTTTTTCCGGTCTTGAGTTGAGGTGTTATCATCCGTTCCAGTGTGTATCAGCTTTCTTCTCGTTTTCTGATCTGGATCCTTCTTGCCGTTTGTCGCGCAGTCTTGGTATTACAAATAACCCATTGTACGTTATTAATACACTTCTTGCTACCCCAGACACGCCGATCATGTTTTAGACGTTTTGTCAATGTGATCCTTCCCCTTCTCGCACTCAGTTGTCTATCCGTGTTTTGCGTTCGCACGCGAATCTGTCCCCCGCATCTTGCTGATGGGTTTATTGTTATTGCTAGGACGTCCCCATTTCCGCTCATCCTCTCTCCTCCCTTCCGTCACTCGCATTCAGATTTACTCATTTTCAGACTCGAGCACACTGAGACACACTCGGACTCAGACTCGTACCCAGACTCTCTCATACTCAGTCTCAACAGTCAGGCTCGCTCACACTCTGATGCACTCAGACTCAGATACCCCGACGCTCTGACTCGCTTCTCGCACTCAGACCCACACACAATCAGAGTCACTCACACTCTGACTCACTCACACATAACACTCACGCAGACCACTCACACTTAGGCTCGCCTCATACTCAACTTGCGAGGATGTCTCGTGCGAGACGCTGGCTTGAGCACCGCAAGGGGGTGGGGCTCCAGGGGGTGTTGCACGGGCCCATTCGCGCCCAGATGTTGGGGATGTCTTCGGGGATGTGCCTGTTTGGTGGCTTGGATTTCTTTACGTTCAGACCAGATTGTCAGGATGTCTCCAGCGAGGCGCTGGTTTCAGCACCCGGAGGGGGGCGTGGGCGGCTCAAGGGGGCGTCGCATGGGTGCGTTCGCACCCAGATTGTGGGGATGTCTCGGCTGGTTTGCCCGTTTGGTGGCTTGGACTTCGTTGCTTTCAGAACCGGTCTTGAGGATGTCTCGAGCGAGGCGTTGGCTTCAGCAACTCAAGGGGGAGCCGCCAGCGGGTGTTGCACGGGCCCGTTCGCGGCCAGACTGGAAGGATGTCGTGAGCGAGGCGCTCGTTTCGTGGTTTGGACTCTGCTTCCAGAGCAGATCGTGAGGATGTCTCGAGCGAGTCAGGCGAATCGCTAGTTTAGGCACCCCCTACTTCTTCCTTGTCAGAGCCCAGAGGCCCAAGTGTATCCTAATGTAGCAGGAATCGTAGATCGGCGCTCTAAGGGGGAGCCGCCAGGGATCACTCAGTCGCCAGAGGCTAAGATTCCCCCACTCAGACACTCACAGGCGGAAGCGCCAGGAACTGAGCTGCACATATGAAGACTTCCGCGTCGAATAGCTGCGTATCTGTGCTGAATGCCAGTGTGTTTCCGTGTGGTCGGCCGCAACCAGAAAAGTTGAGAAGTGGAGCAACACATTCGCAGCGCTGTTTAAAGCGACAGATGTACCAATGATGACCCCAGAAGTAGAATCATCACACTAGTAATCGCAATACTAAGGCGAATCAGATCAATTCAATGACGAAGAAGAAGAAGAAGCACGTGAATCTGCGAAATGACAACGTGAGCGTTTTCAGTGCAGCCCGCGCCGGATCGTTTTGAGCGCTGCCTGCTGTTTCAACGGTTCGGAGATTCGGTGCACATGGATTTCGCGTCTGCGCGCGCTCCGAACGCAGATGGCAACGGAAACATAGGTACAACAATGATGCGAGGTGTTGGACATGAAGGTTCCATACATGAATGCATCAAATTGTTTCTGGGCATGCTGGGGATGCCTGCGTCGTGTCAGCACAGATTCGCAACAAGGACGGCCTCTACACGATCGGCGGCCCTGAGCACCCCTGGGGGGGATGTCCACCGTATCTTCGCTGGTCCTTCTGGAACCGGACGTGGGTGAGTTCAGCCGCACATGCTTACCAGGAATATGAATCCATATATTGAAGGCGCCCACGTCGAGTCACTGCCGCCCCCCGCCTTTTAAGATGCGCCTACGTATGTGGCCAAACGTTTGGGCAAAGCTTGCGCACGCTATTGGACCATGCGTTCCCCCAGCCGTTGTAGAAGCCCTTCGGGGAACACGTGGGAGAGGAAGTGGAGGATGAGGAGAAGAAAGAAAAAGGAGGATGATGATGATAAGGGCGAGGAGACCTATTGGAAGCTTTTTGGGATCATTCTTTGGGCCCCCTGGAGCTTCCTGGGGGCCTCTTGGAGGCCTCGTGGGTCTCTTTGGGGCCTTTGGTCCGTCCGACGTGGTCGGAAGCCGTCTTGGGAGCCTCTCTGGGCCGTCTTGGGGCCGTCTGGGCCGTGTTGGGGCCCTTTGGGGGCGGTCTTGGGGGCCTCTTGGGCCGTCCTGGGGCCATCTTGGGTGCCTCTTCTCTTCGGAAAGAATCAAAACCAGAAACAGTAGGGTGTAGCACGCCAGGCACCTTTGTGTCAAGCCAACGGGGGCGGCGGATGGAGTGGCGTCCGACCCATTCCGCCACCGTGCCCAGGTTGTCGGCGGAGACCTTCTGGATGCTTGTGAGTATCTAGTGGGGGGACTCCTCAGGAGCCCTCCAGAGGCGGTTTCGGGGGTGTCTGGGGGCGTCTTGGGAGCCTCTTGGGGGCCTCTTGGGGGCCTCTTGGGGCTTCATTATGGCTTCTTGGGAGCGCCTCGGATGCTCCCCCCACAGATGGGATGGGCCCCAGGGTTCCCAGGCCCCCCACCGACCCTTGGATGGGGTAGGGGGACGACGACGACGACGACGACGACGGCGACGACCACGACGACGACCACGTCGACGACGACGACGGCGACGCCACACCTACAGGGCCACGACCACGTAGGGGGACCCATTCCGCCGGTGGGGGAGGGGGCGAAAGCATCAGCATGATGGGGGGCGGAGCCCTGGGTCATGCTTTTAACACATGTATATACAGATATGTATACACATAATTATACACGTAAAACTTGGTATGGCCTGAACAGCTGGAGTCTTGGATTCCCTTGTAGATGTGGCCTCGGTATGGTCATGCGCGCCAGGCTTCGGCATGTGTGCATCAAGCAAGTCACTTCTGCATGTTTCGCATGTGAATCCAGCCACGTGTTTCTTCAGCTTCATGGTAATATTGTCTTACCCATCGCAGCAGACGTGTGCCTCTTCAAATGTGTCCCGAGGGCCTGGCA